GATGCATATAAATGTGCCTATGTTGTAAACGAGCAGATTCCAGTTTAAAATTGGATTTTATAAATTTTAAAAGTTACTCAAAAATTGGGCCAAAGTCCCTGTATATAGGGTTTTTAATTGAATTTTATCAAAAATAGCTAGGAGAGATTTTTCTACTTTTATAATTTTTTTCTGATGCATATAAATGTGCTTATGTTGCATAAAAGTTTGAGTACGTTCCAATCAAAATTGGATTTTTTATAAATTTTTGAAGTTGCTACAAAAATTTGGCCAAATTAATTTCCAGCCATTATTTTAGGCAATTTTGTCAAAAATGGCAAAAAGAAATTTTCCCATTTTAAATTACAATTTCTACTATCAATACATGTTCTTATATTTTGGCCCTTGTAGAGCCTTGTCTTATGCTTTCAACAAGCGTAACAGGGTAAAAAATATTCCTATAATTGATTTCACCACCTTGCAAGTACAACTTGGTCATTATTAAGACTTATAGAGGTTCTCTCTACCTTATAATGCTTCTAGAGAAGTCTTTAGACAGTATCTCTATGTTCTCTTGCTGTTAGAAAGCTCTTAACTTTGTCCCATGTGTAAGCCGCCATTTTGTTTGCCGTGGCCACACCCACTCACGTAAAGGAGCGTGGGCGGGTGGTTGCTAAGGCTTGTTATTTCTCCAATACAACATGTATAGAAGAAATGTAAGTGTGGACATACAAATAAATAAATATATGTGACCATAATTGACAAAAGGGCCCTTATGGCGGATTTTAAAATTGATCATTATAATGGAAAATATCAACCTATGAGTGCTTTGTTTGACAATCATTGTTTCTAAAAGTTTCATAGTAACTTTTTGCATCGTGTGGAGTACTTTTATGATAAATGGGGCTCAGGAAGTTGGATTTCTTAGGCTAGAAAGACAAATTTCACTACCCACCATAAGGTACCTTTTGTCCATTATGGTCACATATATATAATACTATATCCCAGTTCAGTTTGGGACGGAAGTGGAAGCAGCTGCGTGGAATTTGAAAAATGTAGCTACGTCACAAAGTGACATATTATAATGATATTCATAGAAGAATGGCGGCTGTGTTGTTTCACTCTTAAAACAGTCTTGCTGTTGCTGATAAGCAGTACAACAGCTACTGGAGTCAACTAGTCTTCATAAAGGCCATCATTATCAGAAGATCTTGCTCTGTTAGCTTTTTAAAACAAGAATTATCAGTTTGCGCTCTCGACCACATGTGCTTATATAAACTATGACGTAGATAAACTGTCATAAAACGTCATTTTGGTATGCCATTGGGTTTATAGGGAGAACCCATTTCTCAGGGTTCCCAAGAGCTGAGAGACCCAAGATTTCACAGATTTTGATGGACTTTGGCGACTAAGAACCTGTGAATGTTTTACCCTTATCCCACATTCCTATAAAAAGTTATTCCAGTTTTTCTTGGGTCAAACTCAGTTGGGATATAGTATAGATAGCGCGACGGTGAAATCAATTATAGGAACGACCTGGGGGCTACGCCCCCAGGTCGTTAATAACATTTTGAAAACATCTGTCGCTCAATTTATGAGGCATAATAACCAACCAGTTTCATTTTACCCAAAACAAAATTATCAGTGACAAAGCCTCTATATACTAGGCTATGAACATGTCACGTCAGTATGCCATGGTACATGTATGTGGTGTGCTTAAGTCTCACTAGCCCAACCCAAATGTCTATTGTAGTTATTTAGGTGGACGCCCATCCAAACAACTGTAGTTCTGACTAGATAAACTATGGTGGGCTTGTAGATATAGCTAGACTGCCCTATTGGCTATTGCAGAAGCCCAGGACAACTTGAAAGGCACTGGCCAAAGGGGTGTGGTGCTCTGTGTGGCGAGACTAATAATAAACCAATAAAACTAGGCTACATCTATCTATAAAGGTGTGAAATGGTTATCAATAACTTACTGTCTAGTGGCTAATAACTGTGATTAAACTGATTATAAGTTTACAACAGAAGTGCCGAGGAGTGCTCCGAGTCTGACATATCAGTAATTAAATGGGAGGGGCGCTATGCAGATAGATAGGCTAGGTGTGGCTAATTACTAATTATAGTCTGTTCACGTTGACTTCTAACTCATTACTTTATGCAGACTTGGCTTCAAACATGGTCAAGGTGTTAAGTAGATGTTAAGTGAGTATGAAGTAGTTATGAATTTCATTATTAATTAGCATGCATTATAAAAACATTGGATTAAAACACTATTATTATACATAAAAATCAGACTCATCCAGAGCGGCCAAGTCATCATCAGAGTCAGGGTCTGATGGTAGTACTTCATCATCACTACTATCATATTAATCATCGGATTCATCACCAATTAGACAACATAGAATCATGGATGACAAATTCCCGAATTCCGTCCAGTTCCCAGTAGTGATCCTCAAAATTATCTTGAACATGTTTTACCAAGTTCTTCTATTTATCAGGAGTAGCTAAATCAAACACTTCCTGCCCTGGCTATTCAATCTAACTCCTTGCTTTCTCTTCTTCTCACTTTGGACGCCATTTTAAACAATTTATTCTAACTTCCGGTCACACCTCCTGTTGTGATTATAATGGTAGGCAGTGGCTTCTAAGTGGCGGCAGTGCTTAGATCTCGCAGCTTTTATACTTTCTGCAGTTCCTAAAGTCTTATCCACTAGTCCTATACATCAAATGAAGCGCATTGCTGAGAATATATCTGTGTGTAAATTTGGTATTGATTAGATTAAAAACCTTTGAGTTATTTAAGTTTCATTTAGTTAGAAGTCAACCTGAACATACTATAGTAGTACATCTTCAATACAAAATGATTTCTCTCTCTCACTAGAAATAGTGCTCCTCACCTGAATGTATACCTTTCCAACACCAATAGCATCTACAGTTCGACCATCTCCTAGTCCAACCTTTTCAGGTTTCTTCAACTCATGGTAGTCAGCCAGTACGTTTCTCTGATAAGTCATGTGACTAGATGCTCCTG